TTGACTGGATCTCACACTCTTTTTCAGCAAATTAATGAAAATCTCACGTCCCCAGAGTGTGCATTTGAATTTTTCAACTCAAAATACTACAAAGATGGTTTTAGTTCTAAACCGGCTGTATCAGTGTCTATAGCTGTAGTGTAGCTGAGCTGCTGCTGTCCCCCTACAGGAAGAAGACTCTCTCTCTGCATTTGGGATTGGCTGAGACATTTTAGAGTCACTCTACAAAGTAAATAAACCTGGTGGACTGTGAGGCAATTGTTCTTTGTCTCACCTGAAAGCAGCAGGCAGCGAGGAAGCAGGATTATGCAGAGTTTCTGGAGGATGAGCACTTAAGTCGAATTCAGCTGGTGAAGCTATGAGGCGAGCTAGCTTCTGTGGTGGCTCGAGCGATGGGAAAAATACATTCATATCTTAACAGCTTTTATTTTACACATTCTAGTTTTTAACAAATACAAAACAAATGGATTTTCACCATATGGGACCTTTAAGATTCCACATGTTTTATGGTTTCATATAGTTTTCTATAAAAACCTTTAGTTTAAAACTCTTAAGTCTACTTTCTTTAGCTTATTGACATGATCTATAAAAGTTTTACACATTTAACAGCTGGACAGATGTCTCCTATATATTAGGGTGTGACAGTTTTGAAACTTTTGACTAAACACAAAACACTGAAAATACAAGATTTTATTGCAGAAATAAAAGGTGGCACGGTGGTTAGCATCGTTGCCTTGCAGCAAGAAAGTTGCCAGTTCACATCCCAGTGAGGACACCGAGGATCTTTCTGAGTGGAGTTTGCATGTTCTCCCCGTGACCCTAGTGAGGATTAAGTGGTGTATAGATAATCGATGGATGCTAGAACAGACTTTTAATTTACAAAAGGAGCTGCTAGTTGGCTGAAAAGCAGGAGGTCATTTTAGTTCTAAATATTATTGCAGAGAGGATGAAAAATGGACTTCGCCCTAAGTTGGCTGGGATAGACTCCAGCCCCCCCGCGACCCTGGTGAGGATTAAGCGGTGTATAGATAATGGATGGATGGATGGATGGATGAAAAATGACAAATTACAGATTTGAATAATTACTGGTCAGAGCAACTCATTTTAAAATGGCCTCTGCTTAAGAATTCAAGGATTCAAGGCCTTCATTGGTCACAAACACAGTCATACATGGTATAACGCGCAGTGACATGTGCACCTGTTCCACACCCAAACAATGACAATAAGTAGAATAAAGAATAACTCTTTGTGTGACCTGAGTCCTAGCTGACCCCATCGAGTTGTTTCCTCCCCCGCCTCCCCCGTCATGTTAACCCTGTCCAGGTGTGTCTCACGTCTCCCCATCTGTCTGCAGGTTTTTTCGACGCCCACGCTCTGGCCCTGGACTTCCTGTCTCTGGGTTTCAGGGAGTGTGTGACCGAGGTTTCCCGCTACCTGAGCGCCGTGGAGGGCCTGGACTCCAGCGACCCCCTGCGCTGCCGCCTCCTCTCCCACCTCAGCTCCTGCGCCTCCCAACGCGACGCTGCCGCCCTGACGGCCGCCTCCCACTCGCCCCACCACCACCACCACCACCACCCCCACCACCCCCAGCAGCCTCATCCTCTACCTCACCCATTCCACCCCCCTCACTGGGCGGCTGCCGTGGCTGCGCTGCGTCCTCTGCCGTACGGACTGAGCGGCCTTCCGGTTTCCCCGGATGCTGGAGGCGGAGGCGGTGGAGCCCCCCAGAGGCTGGCGGAGCTGTCGCAGCGTAGCGTGGCCTCCTCCTCCTTCTCCTCCCACGTAGACTCCGCCTCCTCCTCTCCTTCCTCCTCCTCCTCCTCCTCGTCCCTCGTGCTCCCCTGCACCCCCGCCCCTCTCTCCGCCTCCCTCCTCTCCCTCTCGGCGTCGTTCCCCATCGCCCTCCACGGAGGTTTCCCCATCTTCCCTTCCTCCTCCTTCACCTCCGCCACCGCCGCCACCAGTCCTCCCATCTCGTCCTCCTCCTCCTCCCACACTCCTCACGGCGGTAAACCCTACCGGCCGTGGGGGACTGAGGTTGGAGCTTTCTGACTGCAGCGCTGCTCATTAACCTCTGACTTGTTGACAAACTGACACTTTAACAGCCTGGAAACACTTTAATCACAGTTTCATTCACCGACTGGTTTTAACACTTGACTCAGACAGCTCGTTCTGTTAATCTGTTAACCACTGGGATGGTTTTTTTTTACTGATCTCCGCCTGCTGCTGCTGTTACAGACCGGTTGAAATGTGTGGTTTAATGTGGTGTCTTATTCAGCTTTACTGCGTTTAAACATGTTCTGTGTGATCAGCTGCTCTTCTGTGAGGTTAATTCCACTTGGACAAAACTACACATTTGATATTGTTTAACCCTGATAAGTCTGGTGATATTCTATATTTTAAGACGATTTTATCTCACTCCCACATGCACCATCCTGCTGGATCAAAGACTCACTGGAGCACCAGATGTGGATTAATCCACCGATGAAAATAGTTCCCAAGGAATGTTGCATTTCCTCCAGCTTGTTAAAAACTGTTTTAGGGAATTACTGAGCCTAAAATAAAATAAAACTGTATGTTTTTGGGGGATAAAGTGTTGGGAGATGAGGTTTGTAGACAGTAACATAAACATAGACTAACACCAGACTTATCCTTGAAAACAAACCTGAAACACTGACAAAGAGTAATAAACCAAAGTCTTCCTCTAATATTCAGTCATTCATGTTTAACCCGACTTACCAGACTCTTGCTGTGTCTGGTATTTTATTTCATGGAGAATCTATGAACTGAGAACCAAACTGATCTCAAACTGTCTCCCAGGATTCTCAGACAGTTGCTGGGACAAATATTAAGACTGTACAACTAATATTTGATCATATTAGACCTTTTTTTTTTAATATCTGTGGTTTACATGTAAACTTTCACTGAATTTTCCACCAAATATCTGTGATGCCCTGCGTGCCTTTGTACAAATAAAGATGACTAAACGGTTTTGCTGCTGTAATAAAAAAGAAGGGGCAGCTGTTCCTGTGTTTTTCTTTTTTATACAGTAACTTGATATTTATATTTACACTCACAGAGTTCTTTAACATCTGTTCAATTTAATATAATTAAACACAACTGCACCGCCATACATTCTACTTTTAGAAAACTTGTTTATTTTCAGTCAAAGAAGTGAGAATTCTACTTTGTAATGGGGGATAAAACGTTTTTAAAATCTTTTCCACTCCATTAATAAACATGAGGGGGACACAGTGTACAGTCCAGTATACCACCACACTATACCATGAAACCAACAAAAAACATAAAGTAGAATTATCACCGCCTTGATGCCAAACACTGAAAATGCAGAAGCTTCATAAAATTAGCTGTTGTATTGGATGACATTATTGTGTGTGGTTTTAATTATTAAAGTGGCTGTTGAGTGTACATGCCAATTTAAAGAGCCCATATAATGCACATTTACAGGTTTATACTTTTATTTTTGGTGTGTTGACTTGCTTTCAACAACACATTATTTCATGTTTTACATTCCTGCAGAACTTCTCAGCCTCTTTCTGAAACAGTTCTGTCTCTTAAAGGACCCCCTTCTGAAAAGCCCGGTCTGCTCTGATTGGTCAGCTGGTCCGACAAAAGTGAAGGAACAGCAGAGAAATGTAGCTCAAACAGAAGCAGATCAACAGAGCGAATAAGGATGGACTGTGAGGAAGCTGCTAGCTAGGCATCATGCAAATGAGTCACATGATGACATAGACAAGTAACGGAAGAAAACCCTGGATGTCAAACAATGTTTCCTGTGGTAGAGAACAACTCTCTTTGACATGGACTTCATGCTTTGCAGATCTTTGACATTCACAAAACAGTTATAACGCACAACAAAATAACACATCCGCTCTTTAAAAATGTGCTGTTACATCTGCATAGATGTTGTTCATGTTGACTGGTGTTTGCACGGCCATCTTTGTGCCATCGTTTTTCTGGTTTTGGCACAGGAAGGTTAGAGCTCTTTTCTTTTGTTCACCCGACATATATGAACAGATTGAAGATGCAGATGATGATTCAGGGATCTGGACATGAACAGGCCTGCAAGGCACAGATCCAGATGCCCAGTAAATTTGCAAAAATACTGAAATGGCCCTTTAAACTGCTCTTGAGCAACATGGCTATCCATGCCGGAAAACATCAGGTTGATTTAGCTCCCTGATGGATCCACTGGCCTTCAAATTGAGTCTCACTTGAAATGCACTCCAAACCCCAAAGAGTCAGGGGGCCACAATGACAACACACTGATGTAAAACAACCACAAGAAGACTCAAAATGGCTACAAACAGACACATAATGACACAAAATGACCCCAATAACACAAACAAATTGCACAAAAAGACCAACAATTACCAGTGACACACACTGACCACAAAGAGATGACCATAAAACAACCACAAGATCAAAATGACTACAACAATTAGCAGACACAAATGACCATGAAAAGAGATGTAGAGAGACAGTTAGCTCTGAAATTACCAAAGAGACAAACAATAAAAATGTAAGTGATGTAAAACAACCACAAAGAGACTCAAAATGACAATGAAAAGACAAAAACTGAGCAGAAAAGACCAAAAAGAGACACAAGAGGTTTAAAATGACGACGGAGACAAAAGATTAGAACAAAAAAAAAATACACCGACAAACAAAATGGCCACAAAGAGACACAACATGACCACAGAGACACAAAATGCCTGGAGACAACACAAAACGGTCAGCACTAAAAAACAACAACAAAATGTCCACAAAGAGTCAAACAATGACCATAATAGAGAGACAATGCTACAAAGAGATGCTCAACAGATACAACAAGGGGGCTGTCCTCTGTAGCAGCAGGTCTTGTACACATGTGTGTCCAGGTGCTCACTGGCCCATCATTCATCCATGAGCTCAGCACCACGTCTGGTCAGTAGCTTTTTGTGTGTCACCTGATCTTCCTCAGAAGTTTGTCTTGTGTCCTATTTTCTGCACAGTTTAAAGATGACTTGAAAACCGAAGGGACTTAGCCTGACTTTATTAATCCTGAATTTCCCTCTGGTATTAAGAAAGTCAGTCTAAGTCTAAATCTTTGGAATAGAAGTCTGCATGTCCGAGATGACTCAGCACCATCTGAGGAAGACCATGTGATACGATTGAAAGCTCCAGAGCGGCGCGTTTTCTCGACACGATCTGCAAAACAAAATGCTTTTACCTCAAATTCTCTTAGGTAAAGTAGCTGTGAGCAAGTAGGCAGCATTCCCACACACACACACACACACACACACACACACACACACACACACCTACACACACACATGCACACACACGTTAATCCACTCCTTCTTGGTCTTTGCCTTCATCTTGCAGTTGATTTACACGCTGAAATCACTGTTGCACCCGTTAAATCCTCCCAGAGAAGAAAACGGCGTCATTTCCAGCTGAATGGAGGATTAAAGGCTGACAGGCCTGGGAACGGCTCCGCGGGCCGTAAATCCGCCCCGGTCAGCCGACACGGTTCTCACGCCGGGACGCCGCTTTGAAGTGACCGGCGGTAAATTAGGTGGCATGAGCCGCTCAGCGCTTTACATACAGACAGACACAAAGAGCAGATAACAAGTGGAAACAGTGCGAAGAGACGCTGAGGCTGGAAGAGGCTACGAGAGCGTAATGCAAACTTTATCCATCCGCTAAACAGCTACTGACGCGTCACATATGGCCCTTTAAAAAGCTTTTGCTTCCTCAGATTAAACAGCTTATATAGATATGTTCTTTTCCCCAGACATATTGTTTCAATTATATGAGTTTTTGGAGATGTTTTTAAAAATCTTTTTTTGGGGGTCCTTTTTATGTGGAGCCTTTAAAGTGATAAAACAAGATGCACTAAAATTGCGTCTCGATTTAATATGACAAACACAATGCAGTTGTAATATCTGCTGTCAGTTTGCTGTAATTAAAGAGCCCTTTATAAACAGTTTATTATGCTGTAATTAACGTGTTTATTAATGGTTAATAAATCATTTACTAATGCTTTATAGGTTTGTTATGAACCATTAATAAGAAGACCTTTTGGGTTGCCAGGTTAGGGAAAATCCTCCTTCATCTGGACACGTTTTAGGTGTTAAATCCATCAAGATGATCCTTCTAATCGACTCTTTACCACATTTTCATACATTTGGTCCCAAATCCAAAGCTAAAGGATGTTTCTGTTTTATTTCCACTTTGCTGTGTCTCTGTGGGTCATGCTGACTTTTACACTCTCCACTTTGGTTGTAGAGATTCAAGGAAATGAGCACAAAACAGCGCATATTGTAGCGATGAACATGTTTAAATGCTTGTTTTTAGCCTGACTGGACGGAAACAGCAGTGAGCCATGTGGAGCAGACGTTTCACTCCTCATATTTAACACCCACATATTCATCCACATCCGCTCATTTGTTTCCATGTGAGTCAGATTTTCTGTAAACTCAGCACCTGAGTGTAGTGATGGTTCACTGTGAGGACGATCACAGGGACGCTGGTGGTTTTCTGACACTCGCCGCAAAGAGTTTCACCTGTTGATGGAAAATCTCCACGTGTCAGATGTTAGACAGTCATCCCAGCTGTCGAACTACAACTAATGAATCTGCAGCTTTGATACACATCGTGAAGGCGGCGTTTCACCTCCCTAACATCAGCTAGAAGAAAAAGACGGTTGATGTCTTCATGCGGTCAGTAGAAGCTGTTACACACAGAGAGTCATTCTATGAACATTACACTGAGTTTAACACATGAAAACAAAGCAGCAAATGGACGATTAGGTCAGACAGCAGGTATCCAAGGATGAAACTCAGTAAAATGTTCGCTCCAGGCAGCTGACTTCCTCTCAGTCAGACTATAAAGAGACGTTTAAAATGCTTTGAGTGAAATCAGTATTTTTGGCTCTTGTTTTTTGCCCCAGTATACAGTGTTTTGTGTAAATCCTCATCAACAGAGATGAAGAGTACAAAACAAAAAACACAATATCATCCCTAAATGCAAACCAACAAGAGCCTCTGAACATCTTCACTCAGCCTATGTTACTGATACTTTCACTACTTCTCTAGAAAATGGCTCCTTTAGGATAGAAGTATCTGGAACTCCCAACTAGTCAGTCAGAACTGATGAAGCCTCTTGGATGAGAGGTGGAACATCTTCAAGGAACCCAAGCAAATCCAGTTGATACAATTAATCTAGGAGAATAACCAAGACCTGGATGACTGAGAATCTTCACAGACATTTTCTAGAAAACACCCTGCAGTTTGCGACACCTGAATATTCAAAAAAATGTTCAAGGAGATGCTCTTAGCTTCACATGCTGCAGTTTCTAAAGTTCAATATTCTGCCTATTATTTAGCATCAATACACACATTTTATCTAATTGTCAATACTGTAGATTTCCTCCTTCAGGTATCTGTTGGCCTTTAGATCAGCTTTAATGATCAAATTGAGATACATGGGAAGGTTTTTGTTCACATTTTCTTCTCAATCAAAGTTCAGCAGTGGTGTAGGAAGTATTCAGGTCTTTTACTTATGTAAAGGTACAAAACAAATACAATACAAGGTCCAAGTCAGGAAATCCTGCTTAAGTGTTCACGTATAAACAAAAAGATGTGCTTTAAGTATCAAACTGAAAGTACTCAGTGCACAACATGACTATAATTAGATCAATATCCCTGATGCCTTAGTGTGTAAACAGTATTCTGCAGCTGGTTGATGTGCAACCAAATAATCTTTTTATTGCTGATTAATCTGCTAACTTTCTCAGTGAGCAGATGGATTGTTTGGTTTTTAAAACTTTAGAAATTCCCCAGAACCCAAAGTGAACCCTTCACATGCTCGCTTTGCCCCACTGATCCGAACTGGTTGGAACAGTTTATAGTTTAGTTTTTTTTTTAAAAAGCACCATTTCATGAGCTTTTCATGCTTTTCATAATACTTGAGTGACAAACAACTACAGCTGTCCAACAAACGCAGTGCAATAAAAAGCATATTTCCCTGTTGAATGGAGCAGAAGATGGTTTCAGATTTTTTAAACATCGTCAAAACTGCAACAGGCCATCAACAGATTTAACAGAGACACTTCTTATTTACAGTTCTTCTTAAAAAAAAACAAGCATGGATGTTAAAATCTGAAGGACCACAAGTAGCTGAGCAACATAACAAAAAACAACACAAAACACAAGACAGCCAGGAGCGACAAAAATGTGCTCTTTTGTTTCAGCTGTGTTCACAACCCATAATACTAACAGCACCACAGTCCTCTGTGGGCCTCGGCTCTACGGTGACAGTAAGGACAGCATGCTGTTTGGACTTAAAATCTCGATCCAGTAGCCGTCAGGATCCTGAATGAAGGTCTGATCCTTCATTTTACCTGTGACGAGGAACAGGGGTTGTAGTTAGTGTAATAATGGTGGGTTTTAAGAACATTCATTCCTGGGATCTAAACCATCCAGTCTAAGCCACAGCCTGACTGTGAGCGCCACCTCCTGGTAGAAATCTAGTTATAACAGCAAGTGTGGAGATAAATATACAGGCAGACATGCAGGGAGAGCATGTAGGTGTTGTAGAGACATCTGTCTTTAAGCAGTATGTCGTACATTTTTACATTTCAGTGCTGCCATTTTTATTTTTATTCTTGAATTTTTCATTTAGTGTTTAACAAAAGTTCCATTCAGGGTAGCAACTTATTTTTTAGGGTAAACTGCAGAACATGAATGTAAAGCCTATTGTATGTTCTGTTTAGACACCTTTATAGATGGTTTATATATGAGTTTTACATCATTTGTACGTGTATAATATGAAATATGTGTATGTTGATATAAGCTGTGCACATCCATTGTCATTATTGGCTTTATTTAACATTTTTATATTTATTTATTTTTTTAATTAAAGATTAAAATGGATAAACATGTTCTATAAGTTGTGCATAACTATTAATTGAGAGACAGAAAGAAGAAATAGTTACTACAGCTTCTATCTGTCTGCATTGAGCTGTGCTGCCCTCTACAGGCAGGGAGTGGTAACTACAGAGGCAAGAAGGGTTGGAAGCTTTCAGTCTGGATGACAAACTGTAACAAAGACAGAAAGGTTATAATGCTGACAATTTGTAGAATCTAAGGCTGATTATTACTTTTAAAAACTCTTTTAAAATATAGCTGAAAAATGCAGACATTGCAGTGTGATGTGGATAATCTAATTAAAATGAGACTGTTGCTATGACCTGCTAAGCTAGCTACCTGTAGTAGCTAATTTAGCTGCTGTGTTATTTAATGATGTGAAACAACAAACTTAAAATGCCACTTTAACTTCATCAAAATAATATCTTTAATTTCTCAGATAAAATCGAAAGAAAAATCAGTGACTTGAAGCTTTAGCTGTCGGTAGCCACAGCTAGCATAGCAGCTAGCTTTCATCTGAGCACTGTAACTTTAGCTGCATGGCTAGCTGCTTTTCTGACTGTAGCTGTGTAAGTGGCTGTCTTTCTATTACTTTGAATGTCTGTACGTGATGCTAGCTGTGTAGTTAGCTGTCTTTCTGTTACTTTAACTGGGTAGCTAGCTGTCTGTTTAACTTTAGCTGTGTAGTTACTTGTCTTTCTGACTTCAGCTATGTCATAAGCTGTCTTTCTATTGCTTTGTCTTTCCACGACTTTAGCTGTTTAGTTAGCTGCCTGTAAGACTTTAGTGAACAGTCTGCTATGTGCAAATTTAAAAAGCTGATTTCCCAGAAATAACAGATTTCAAGAGCCAAACACATTTCTATGTATGTGTATAACAACAATTTCCCTCTGGTACCCGACCAAAGGGATCAATAAAGTTCTATCTAATCTAATAACAGATGTTAGACAGTCTCATAGAGTCTGAACTCAGTTTGACCAGGTGAGTGGTTCCTGTGCTTTGCGATGCGATGTGCCGTTTGACTCACCTAAGTCTTCTTTCTTGACAAATGTCACTCCTCTGTCTGCAAACAGTTTGCAGGCTGCATCAACGTCAGGAACAGCAATGCCAATATGACCTTCAACAAGACAAGACAAGACAGTCGGCTACGCCCAGCACACACACAATCAGTACGATCTACCACGAAACAAAGACGTGTGCCAAATGCTTCACATCGATCTCAGACATTTATGATTTGATTTAGATGTTCTGGACGTTGAACTGCCATCAGACAGTCATCATGTCCTTATTTTGTCCTGAAAAAATAAATTCTGCTTAAATTGAACTCACCAAATCCTCGTGGGATTTTGTTCCCGTTGTGGTAGCACAGGTCTTCTATATTCTCTGAGCCCCAGTTACTGACAGACAGATGACAGCATCATTAAATGAGTCATAATAAAGTGCTGCAGGTTTTTGATCTGAACTGTGTCACTGTGTTTAAAATGAATTTGGTGCATTGTGGCCTTCATGCGTACTGTGTGAGCTCTATAGTGGCTCGGCGAGAGAAAGTCCACGCTGTCCTCTCCTTAATGTCAGCTGGGATCTCCGACTTGTTCTCATAACCCAGCAAATAGTGGGTGAACCGCATTGCGGAGAAGTCGACTTTCTGCAGCAGCCTGGAAACCACAGAGGAGGCCGGAGGTTAGAAGGAGACTCCAGCTGCTCTGTGAGCTGAGCAGAGCAGGAGGAAGTTGGAGGTGTTGGGAGAGGTTCAGGAACACTCTGAGGACTCACGTCATTCCCAGAACTCTGGTGTAGAAGTCCAACGATCGAACCGGATCTTTGACCCTCAGCATCGTCTGCTGCATCATGAAGTCCTGCAGAGACAAACATCGCAAAGACAACAGGAATATTGTTGGTCTGCTCAAATCAGTGTGTTTAGCTTTTTTTTTTATCTCCTTGTAAATGACCTGAGCAGAACCAAATGACAAACTGGAGCATTTAGCAGCTGGAGAGTCAAATATTTCCCTGCAGAGTTGGAGGAGGAGACCAAAGCAGAGCTAAAAACAGAGTGAATACTGAACATCCATCCATCCATTCTCTATACACTTAATCCTCACTAGGGTCGTGGGGGGCTGGAGTCTATCCCAGATGACTCAGGGCGAAGGCAGGAGACACCCTGGACAGGTCACCAGTCTATCACAGGGCTACACTTAGAGACAGACAACCAAGCACACTCACATTCACACCTACGGACAATTTAGAATCACCAATTATTCTCAACATGTTTTTGGACCTTGTGGGAGGAAGCTGGAGAACCCGGAGAGAACCCACGCTACACGGGGAGAACATGCAAACTCCATGTAGTCAGTGTCCTGACTGGGACGTGAACTGGGGATGTTCTAGCTCAGAACAGACATGTTACCTTCTGAATAAGACCAAGACACCCAAACTGAAATCAGCCCTGTTGTTATCAGTCACTTTGTTTATCTTTGTGACTGGTTTGTGTGTCTTTATAATTCCTTCCAGAGATGGTGGGACCATGGACCTGCTGTGTGCCGACACCAGGATGCATATCACTTAATTATTGCTATTTTCTTGTACTTTCTATAGTTTTGGATGCTGCTGTGGTGTGTAAAGTTCCCCCAATGGGGCATCAATAAAGTATTCTATTGTATTCCTTTATAGTCTCTTTGTGGTTGTTTCTTACATCTGTTTGCAGCTGTCTTGTGTCTCTGTAGCTGTATGCCATTGCTTTTGTTGTTTTGTCTCTGGTTTTGTCTCTTTGCAATAGTTTTGTGTGTCTCTTTATGATCATTTTGCTTCTCTGTGGTTTATTTGTGTCTTTGTGGTCATTTTGCATCTCTGCATGGTCACTTTTGCACTTCTTTGTGGCTTTTTTGTCTCTTCATAGTTGCACCTTTTTGTGATCATTTTGCATCTTTGTGGTCGACTTTTGGTCACTTGTGGCGATTTTGCATGCCTTTGCAGTCGTTTTGTGTCTCCTTGCAGTTGCGTTGTATCTTCCTCATGTGATCATTTGCCACATGTGCAGTGACGATGTTGTTTTGTTCCTCTCTGGTCGTTTTGCTTTCTTTTGCCATTTCTTTAAAGTCGTGCTGCATCTCTTTATGATCATGTTGCATTTGTTTCCGGTCCCTGTGCAACTCTTTTTGGAATTTGTGTGTCTCTTTGCAGTCATTTCGCATCTCGTTATGGCTTCTTTATGTCTCTTTGTGGTCATTTTAACTTCAGTCCTGTGTTTCCTTGATAGCCAAGTAGCCAACTACTTTACTAATATAGTCTGCATTAAATGGTTGGTTGCCAAAATTAGAAGAACTCCTCGTCACAGTGACACCTTTATTTGTCCAAGCTTCACACTGACTAACAGTAAATACATGAAGTGATTTGACTTAGAAACCAAAAGCAAAAGTAACTCTAAGATGAAAACAGAAATGTAAATCTGTGTGTGTTTGTAGTAATTTAGTCATAATTACATGTTTCATTCATTTGATGTTGTAAGCTAAGTATCCTGGACCCTCACAGATCAGCATGAGGTTAACAAACTTCACTTCCAGCTGTGACTCGACTCTTTTAGGCTAAATGTGAGATAAATCTGCAGCTCAACTGACATCCTGAACTGAACGTCCCAGAATGTGTCAGTCTGCAGGTATGTGCAGGTCTGAAGTCACAGCCAGCAGGTTTGACTGCATTACAGCTTCGCCGCTCAGCCCTGATCTGTACGGTGGGAGAGCTCCAACAGAATAAATGAAATCATGACCAACAGAGAGGACAGAAACATGCAGACCTCACCTGGGTGACGGGGTGACCCTCCTGGCAGGCAGCAGACACGGCCTCGTCCGACAGCCTCCTGCTCTCCATGATGATGACAGATCAGACTGAATGATCCAACAGGTTCCTTCACTCAGCTCCTCCGCTGCTCCTCCTGCTGCCTTCAGGTGCCGCTCCGGAGGTCGTGTTTCTCAGATGTTGTGACGCTCCCTGATGCCTTCGAGGACTTTGGCTGCTGCTGTCACAGGGAGCAGACGGTTCCTCCCACCAGGAAAAGAACAGATATTAAAGAAAAGTCATTCATGATTTTAAAACAGC